AACTCCGTGGACTGTAGGCCGCCCAGCTCCTCTGTCCAAGGAATTCTCCAGGCAAGAATACTGGAGATGGTTGCCATTTCCTTCTCCAGGGGATCTTCCTGGCCCAGGGATTGAACCTGCATCTCCTGCATTGGCAGGTGTATTCTTTACCGCTGACTCATCAGGGAAGCCCTGTGACCGCCAAGACTAGGTCATAAAAGGCGTCATAGCTTCCACCTTGCACTAGATCACTCACTCTAGAAGAAGGCAGATGCTCTGGTGTGGAGACACTCAGATAGCCCTTCGTGCCAATAGCCAGCAACAGCTCCCGAGCCACATGAGTGAACCACTTCAGAAGTGAATCCTCTAGCCCCAGCAGAGCCTCAGGTGACTGTGGCCCTGGCCAACTTCATGGGAGACCCCGAGCCAGAGCCACCAACTCCTTTGCTCCTGAACTCCTGAGCCGACGATGTGTGGGAGAGTAAATAATGGTTGCTTCAACTGCTACGTGTTGGATCTTCAAGCTCAGTCCTGGCTGGCACTATGGTTCCTACAAAATGTTCCCCACCTCTACAGGGCTCTGAGCTTTGATCACTAGACCCCATTCAACCACCTTATTTCAGACCAATCAAGTGCCCAGGGCAAGTTACTATGAATGCTTTTTTATAAAAAGTAATGACAGAAAAAAAAAAAAAAAAGAAGTAAAGAGACATAAGAGATCCATGGAGAATGACCTCCCAATGTTACCACCTAGAATGAATAAATTGAAAATTTTTTTAAAATAAGCATTCAAAAAAAAAAAAAAAGTAATGACAGGACTTCCCTGGCAGCCCAGCAGTTAAGACTTTACACTTCTGCTGCAGGGAACACGGGTTCAATCCCTGGTTGGTGAACTAAGATCCTGCATGCCACACAGTCAGCAGGGGGGGCGGGGGGGGAAGGGCAGGGAAGTAATGGCACATAGACATCTTATCCGTAAAAGAAGATGGACTTTTGAGGGAGAAGAAAAAGGGCTAATAATATTTTTCAGAGGTCCTGTGAGGCCCTTTACCTTCATTTTAGCTGTGAATACAGGCCTGGTAATACCTGTTTGCAGGACTTTTGTGACAATTAGAAATAACATTTATTAGGAGAGTAGGATGTGCTGAGCCATAACTGTACTTAGTATTCAAGCCTCAGAACAGCCTTCTGAGATGAGTCTCTTTTTCTCCCCATTTTACACATTGGGAGACTGAGGCACACAAAACTTACACGAATGCCCACAGCCAGAGGAGAGACCAGCAGGGCCGCCTGAGACAAGTGAGAATGAGTGAACCCAGGGAAAGCTACACCCTGTCTGTTGACCTTCCCTGCAGGTCTTAGTTGAAGTCTCTTCTTTCTCTCAGACAGACAGACAGACACACACACACACACACACACACACACACACCACACACACACACACACACACCACACACACACCACACACACACACACACACACACACACACACAGAGACATCAGTGTGGCAAGCACTTTGGCTACAGCCCAAAGTGGCTTGCTATAAACCCACAGTTCCTTTTTTTTCTTTCCTCCAAGAAAGAGACATAATAAAAGCTATCCTCAATGAGAAAGTGGAGAAGGAACAAGTTTATTCCAGAGCAGTACTTGAAAACCCCCAGTGTGAAGCAGCCTAGGAGGAAAGGGCCCCCCCGCCTTTTTTTTTAGGGGCCCTCTCTTACAAAGTTGCAGGAAAGGATAAACTGAACAATGCTCCCTAATGGCAATCTAGCAGGAACTATCAACATTCTAACCTTGGCCTGAGCGATAACCATTTCTGGGAATCTTTTCTACAGAAATTCTACTGGAAGAGCCCAAAGATACACAAAAAGCGACACCCTGCCATGCTGTCTGTGACTGAAAAACAAAACAGCCTGTCTACCAACAAGCAAATATTGATATATCTGTGCTGCAGAAACCCAAAGGGCTGTTAGAAAGAGCAAGGTAGATTGAAGGAATGGACATTGAAGGACTCCATGATCGTACGGGGGGAAAAAGCAAGTTGCAGAATAAGATTTAATTTACTAATTATATTTAACTAAGCTGGAATCAAGATTGCCGGGAGAAATATCAATAACCTCAGATAGGCAGATGACACCACCCTTATGGCAGAAAGTGAAGAGGAACTAAAATGCCTCTTGATGAAAGTGAAAATGAGAGTGAAAAAGTTGGCTTAAAGCTTAACATTCAGAAAACTAAGATCATGGCATCTGGTCCCATCACCTCATGGGAAATAGATGGGGAGACAGTAGAAACAGTGTCAGACTTTGTGGGGGGGGGGGGGCTTCAAAATCACTGCAGATGGTGACTGCAGCCATGAAATGAAAATACACTTACTCCTTGGAAGGAAAGTTATGACCAACCTAGATAGCATATTAAAAAGCAGACATTACTTTGCCAACAAAGGTCCGTCTGGTCAAGGCTATGGTTTTTCCAGTGGTCATGTACGGATGTGAGAGTTGGACTGTGAAGAAAGCTGAGCGCCGAAAACTTGATGCTTTTGAACTGTGGTGTTGGAGAAGACTCTTGAGAGTCCCTTGGACTGCAAAGAGATCCAACCAGTCCATCCTAAAGGAGATCAGTCCTGGGTGTTCACTGGAAGGACTGATGCTGAAGGTGAAACTCCAGTACTTTGGCCACCTCATGCGAAGAGTTGACTCATTGGAAAAGACCCTGATGCTGGGAGGGATTGGGGGCAGGAGGAGAAGGGGACAACAGAGGATGAGATGGCTGGATGGCATCATCGACTCGATGGGCATGGGTTTGGGTAGACTCCGGGAGTTGGTGATGGACAGGGAGGCCTGGCGTGCTGCGATTCATGGGGTCGCAGAGTCGGACACGACTGAGCGACTGAACTGAGCTGAATGGGAAATTGGCAAGGGATGCAAGCAGCAGCACTTTGAGTCCTCTGAATGTCTCTGCCGTCTTCCTCCCCCAGCCAGAGAAAGCTCTGCTTTTAAAGGGACAATAAAGGACCTCTTCCCTTGAAGGTTTTAAAGTTTTAACAAAATGGTCTAAAATTATGTGTTTGGTCTATCCAAAATTTTGTCTATGAATGTAGGTGAAATACATTAACACCAGAGATAAAAAGCATATATCCATACAACTCTGAACCTAGTAGACTCTCAATAAGTAATTATCTAGTAAAGATTTTAAAATTAAAATAAATAAGGGGGCTGGTGTGATTAGATGGGGCTTCCCAGGTGGTGCAGTGGTAAAGTATCCACCTGCCAATGCAGGAGACGCAAGAGACACAGGTTTGATTCCTGGGTCAGGAAGATCCCCTGGAGAAGGGAATGGCAACCCACTTTAGTATTCTTGCCTAGAAAATCCCATGGACAGAGGAGCCTGGCAGGCTACAGTCCATGGGGTCATGAAGAGACGGACACAACTGAGGGACTAACATTTAACAGCTATGGGTATGTGTTTGCAAATACAAGAAAAATGTCTGAAAAAATCTAGATGGATATAAAAATTAATTGTGATTATCTCTGAGATGTGGAATTGTTTGAGGGAAGGAGTGGACGACACTTATTTGGGGACTGTACTGTTTAATTTATGAACAGGTATTATCGTCATACTAAGACTTTTTTTTAACTGTGTTTTTGTTTTTAAATATTTTGGTTGCGCGGGGTCTTTGCCGCCGCGCTCGGGCTCTCTCTAGCTGGGTTCGTGCTCGGGCTTTCTCTAGCTGGGTTCGCGCTCAGGCTCTCTCTAGCTGGGTTGGGGGGGGGTACTCTTGGGGCGCAGGCCTCAGCAGTTGTGTGGCACGTGGGCCTTAGTTGCTCTGCAGCAGATGGGCTCTTCCAGGACTGGGGATTGAACCCATGTCCCCCTGCAGTGGTATGTGGACTCCTATCCTCTCTACCACCAGGGAAGCCTCTAAGATTCTTTTTTAAAAAACAGGAAAAAGATCTTTGTATCAAAGGCAGCATGAGACTGGCTGTTGGTTTGTTGGCAGAGGGAGTGGGCAGAGGTTGAGGCCGAGATCAGATGAGGCCGAGATGAGACAAAGACATGGTATCTCTACGGCAGCCACCGGCCTCTCCACAGAGCTCCCAAGAAATAAATTTAAAATAAAACCTGCACTGAGGTGACGTGAATAAACCTGCACTGTTGGCTGTGAAGGCGCGCTGACATCAATAGCACTTCCCAGCCGAGGCGCTCAACCTCCCATCACCATCTGCTTTTTGGTTCTGAAAAGGTTAGCATTTCTGTTTCCTTAGTTCATGACCAGACCCCTTGAGCCTCTTGTCTAATGTCTTCAGGCATCTCAAGAGCCTGCCTGCCCAGCAGCACCGGGTCACAGATTATATAGCAGGGGGATAACCAGCCCATCTTATGAATTGGGTCTCCAAGATCGCCAGGATGAAATCCAGACCTGCGGTATCTCAGAATGTGACCTGGCTTGGAGACAGGGATTTTACACAAACAATGCAGTTAAAACGACCAGCATGACCATTGTCCCTCAACGAAGAGGTCAGGACCCAGATACACGGAGAGGACGGCCATCCACAAGCCCTATTCTTGCAACTGTTATCTACATTTGAAACTTTTTCAAAATACAGTTAAAACTTTAAATAAAGATAGGATGAAAGAGAGTCCAGCTCCTGGGAAGCCGACAGCAGATCCTGGGGGGCAGAGGCTGGAAGGACCTGCAGGCAGCTTCTAGGCAAGAGGGTTGCAATGTAAGTCCAGTTTTTCAATGACTTTATTTTACCATGACTATCCCTCCAAATGTCTACTGTCCCTGTAATATTTAAGGATCCTGGACTATGAATCTAGAAAGAAGGACGCAGTTCCTGTCTGACAAGTGATCGAGGAAAGCCTCACGTGGCTTCTGCTGACTGCCAGGCTTGGCTTTTACAGTCCAGCCAGAGGAAGGTCTCTTATAGTCTGGGAATGTGGTCTCCTCTCTCCATCAGCCTGGAAGGCTCACTTGATTTAGCAGAACAGTTCAAGATCAGGCTTCCCCCCAGTCCTCACCTCCGATGATCTGCCCCAATGGCATCTGTGACTCTGGCGAAACCCTGCTCCCTGGAAAAAGAACAAAACCATTTCAGCAAATGGTAAAGGAAAGCCCAGCTCTTACTGGAAGGCAACATTCAATCAGGCTCTGTCTGGTCGGTGACTGAGCTTGCCTCGCTATCCCAAACACATGCCTCATCCCCTCTGAACTATCTTCACCCAGGAATCTCCCCAGGTCTTCAGACAAGGAAGGGAATCCACTGTAAGTACTGACAGCTCCCTGACCTCAAACCAGTGTTACCGAATTAACAGGAACGTGGCCAGAACTCCTTAGGCCTATAAACACCACTGTCTTGGAAATAAATCTTCAATTCTTTGGCACTGTATGACCTTTGACAAAAGAGCAACAAGGAAACTTCCCCCTGCATTTGCTCAGATGCTTTTTGAATGAAGAATACAGACAGGTGAAATCCCCTTGATGTGAGTCATTCTGAGTTGGTTGATACCACATTAACTTCACCTGGTTCAAGCCACACGTGGCCCCACTCACTTCAAAAGGGCTTCCAGCTCCCGCTTGACCCCACCCACCACGGGCGGGCCCCGGTAGGTGAGGGCCGTGTACAGCTGCACCAGGGAGGCTCCCGCCCGGATCTTCTCCAGCGCATCCTGCCCGCTGCTGACACCGCCAACCCCGACGATGGGAACTCTGCCTGCAAAGAAGTGCACGGGACACGGTGAGGAAGGGAGGGCAAGACGTGAAAACAGGAGCTCAGTCTGGCTCCAGCCCCAGCCCCATGCTGAGGGCGGTGCTTCAGGAACCCCAGTCCCATCACAGCCCGGAGCCCGCGCACACAGCGCTCTGCAGACAGACGCGGAGTCCTTGCCTTGGGTGAGTGCATACATCTCCCGGATGGTTTGTGTTGATAAATCCCTGAGGGGTTTCCCGCTCAGCCCTCCTCGTTCAGAGCGCAGGGCACCCTGGAGGCTGGCAGGGCGACTCTCTGTGGTGTTCGTGACGACCAGTCCATCGATGCCCAACTGCAGGGGGAGACAGAGAAGGAGCCCCCCGGTCAGGGCCTGACGGACTTAGAGACGCTTCCCTGGAGGTCTGAGACAGCAGCAGGCCGGGCGCCCACACCTGAGCCCCCGGAAGCCAGAGCCAGACCAGGCCTGGCTCATTATACTTCCTGGGCAAGTGTCAGAATGAGCCTCAACGTGACAATAACAGCCATCACGTACCAACTGTACAGTTCCACCAGGATGGGGTTTAGTCCTTAGAACAACTCAAACTAGAGGGTCCTGTGCCAAGGCCTGCAGGTAGTAAGAGGTGGAACTAGGACTTGAAGCAGAACTGCGGGGCTCGGTCTGGGTTTGCACTGATCTCCAGTGACACCGAGACCTGGTGTTAGACTGGAGACAGAGCACTGCAGTCTGACCAAGGCTGGAGGATGCACAACCTTTAAAGCCCTTGCTGGAGGAAGAGGGAAGAAGCAGGAGAAAAGGACCTGTTTAAACACTGATTCAAACATTTACTTTCTTATTACCAGCATATCTCATTTTATGGCACTTCACTTCATTGTGCTTCACAGATACTGAGTTTTTTACAAGTTGAAGCTTTGTGGCAACCCTGCAGTATCAGATAATGGTTAGCATACTTTCAGCAATAAAGTATTTTTTAATTCAATGACATACATTGTTTTGGACTTCCCTGGTGGTCTAGTGGGTAAGACTCCGTGCTCCCAATCCAGAGGCCTGGGTTCAGTTCCTGGTCAGGGAACTAGATCCTGCATGCCGCAACTGAGTTCACATTCTGCAACTAAACCCAGCGCAAGCATGTCAGGATGGCATGTCAGAGTGGTCTAAGGCGCCAGACTCCAGGTATCTAAGACCCAGTGCAGCCAAAATAAGTAAGTAATTAAACAAGTAAATATATATTTTTTAAGGGGAGGGGCAGTTCCCAGAATAGAGCTATCACCAGAGATATCTGCAAGGATCACTTTTTAAAAAATAAAAGATATGTACATTGTTTTTTTAGATGCAATGCTATTGCACACTGAGCAGGCTATACTAGCAGAGTCTATGTGCCCTGGGAAACCAAGAAGTTCCCATGACTTGCTTTTTTGCAGTGGCAGAACTGAACCTCCTATATCTCTGAGGTATGCCTACATATGAACAGAGGAGCCTGGCAGGCTACAGTCCATGGGGTCGCAAAAAGTCAGACATGACTCAGTGACTAAACAATAATGCCTACGTGTGATACACTGAACTATAACGGACCAAACCAGCCCTTAGGAAAACAGAAACTGCCATGCAGGCTAACCCAGCCGGTCAGGTGGGCTCTACAGACAGTGAGGGTGTCCCCAGGCCCTGACCCTCACCTCTCTCACCACGCTGGCAATATCCTCCTTGTTCTGAGCTGTGAGGTCGGGCGCAATCTTCACCAGGACAGCTGGCTTGTGGGCCACCTTCAGGGCATCCCTCTCCTGCAGCACCTACAGCAACATGGGGCCAGAGATGGGGACCCTGAGCCTGCAGCCTACAGTGTGACCGTGACCTGCAGCCATAGACAGTGCGTCTTCACCCCAACTGTCAAACTAAGGCACCAGCAGTTTCTCCTTCTCAGGAAACGCCACTCTCAGTTATGCAAACAGCCCCATCAAGATAGATCTGATTCCATTGTTTTAAACCAAGGAATCCCCGAGAGTGAGTCCCTAATGTCACTGGTATTGGCTAAAACATTAAGGTTTATTTAGACTTTTGTCCCTAAAAGAGACAGCAAATACTGTCACAAGTACTGTTTGATGAAGAGTCATTCTATCATTCAATGTGCTAGATGCTGGGAACAGAGTAGTAAATGAGAGGGATGTGGTCCCCTCTCATCGATATTGTAGATTAACAGCAGGGATAGATAACTGAACAGTTGATTAATACTGAGCACAATCAGTGTTATATAGGGGATCAGAGGGAAGTGAGGGGTCCTAACTGGTCCAGGTCTTAAGGACAACTCCTCGATAGTAGATAGCGATGCTGAAGCTGGGCCCTAGAGAATGAACAGTAGGTCAAACTAGTGGAGCGGGGCCTGGACATGTAGTTGCCCACCTTGGTCAGCAGGCGGCGCAGTTCAGCCTTTCCCTGAAGGCTCCGCAGCCCAGCCGTGTTGGGACTGGACACGTTCACTACCAGGTAGTCAGCCAACGGACCCAGGACTCGAACCCCCTCTGCGTAGTCGGAGGCAGCGTCCACCGAGGTCTTATTCTTCCCCAGGTTTATTCCCAGCGGCAGCCCATCTGTAAATATCACTGGTCAGGATTTTGTCCCCACTCACCATTTCCCACACAATATTTTGAAGCCGTCCTTGACCAGCAGCCCATGAACAGCCCAAGGCCTTCCAGCTCCAAATGTGCCCTTGCCCACACCAGCTGACAAACCCTGAGCTATGCATGGTGCCCTGCCTGCCAGCCTAAACCCACCCTCCACTTTCATCTGCGCAGCTACTAGGATGTTTTACTGCTCTCTTTGCGCCCTTTTTCTTTTTTTAAATTTAATGGGGCATGGAGACATTAGGAGTGCAACTACTAGTGATGAAAATGGTAGGGCTCATAAATGGAGTACAGCTGGGAAGAGACAAGTCAACAGCAAGCCAGAGGACAGCTGTTGACTCTCAGGGGCTGCTTGCTGCACTTGGGTCAAGTGACTGGGTGTGTGGTTGTGAAGAAAACGCAAAATTAAAGGATACATATAAAATAGACTGGAAAATATGTTCGATTCTCGTGCCTAAAATGAAGAGGCATAACAGTGTTATCATTTCCGTCCCGAGATGGGACTCCCCTTATAATTAAGGTGACTGCACATCCCAGAGCTTCCAGGCCAGCCCTGAACACTCCTGTAGCCTGGGCATAATTACTCGTGCCTGTGTCCCTTCCACGCCCAAAAGTGTTGTCTCAGCATGCACAGTAGGTAATATGGTCACCTTACTCTAAAATACAGGGAATTATTACCTGACTTGTATTTCTGACTTTCAGTGTGTTTCCGAAAGGTCTTTTTCTATGTGTGAAAGCAAGGGTTTGTCTGTACTTGATTCCTCCTGGGATGGCACCTTATCTGCCAAGGATAAAGTATATCCACGGTGCCAGCTGGTTTTCCCACCAGTTGGCTGAAAGAAGATCTGAGACGTCCAGCTAGTTCACAAAACGTGCCAGGCCAGGGAGGGTCCTGCTATCACACACTGTAAATGCAGTCCCTGTTTTACCATCAGCTTGAATGTAAATGAGATTCGTGTAGCTAATTTCATAGGTGGAGGGGAGGAGAGGGAACCCAGTTAGACAAGTTATATAACAGGGTCTCCAAGCTTCCCAAATCAAGCTAAGATGGTTTGGAAGCTGTAATTTTTTTCCACCAGGCAAACTGATTTAAAAGAGAATATCATTTTCATGTAGCCAGTGGGTCTTTCATTAGTAGTCATTTGCCCCAAATGACAACATTTGGGGGTTAGACAAAAACTGCTGAATTACTCTATCTCCAAAGGGCACCACAGCTTTTAACAATTCAAGTTTATTGGCATGATGCAGGCGATTAAGCTGTCTTCAAGGCTTCCAGCTGCTGCTAACCACAATGTGCAGAGCTCTACTGTGGGATTTTGCTTCATTCCAACAAATGTTAGCACCAGAGTGGGGGTCGAGGGGTCGGGCAAGGGAGTACAGAGGAGAAAGGTGGCATAAAGGGCACTGTGGACAATTAAAAGGAAAGGCAGGCCAGGCAGGAGCGTATCACACACCATGACAGTGCTGCCGTGACCTGCAAGTCGCCCTGAGTGGCAAGGTCTACGGTATAGCAGGGTCTGGTTCTACCAAAGCCAGGGAGTTCCAAACAAGGCCACTTCCTACTCCCCAATTCAGGGTTGCTAACTTTCAATCTTGCTTCTAGAAATGAAGCCAATATCCACAGGTTTTTTTCATCTCACCATCAGGACATCTAACGAGGCTAAACTTCTGGAAGGCATTCCAGAGGGGCCTGCTGAAAGAGGAAGACGGCCGTAGCCTCACCCAACCCCAGAGGATGCCTAGGAAGATACGGTGAAGACACCTCTGTGCCAGGACCACTACATGCCCCCCAAGGGATAGTAGGGCAGAGAGCCCCAGGAACGAGCATCAGCACCCCCAAAGGTGGCCTTTGAAAGTGCATGGTGTTTCCAGAGAAGTCATGAAGGATACTTTCCCAATGCTGGAAATAGTTATCCCTGAGTGGGGAGGAGTGTGAGTAATGTTAGTGTTCTTCATGTTTCCCTGCATTTACTAACAGTTCTATCATTAGCATGCATCACTTCTATAATGGAGAAAGGACAACAGAGCAGGATGTACTAAGAAGGCACCCAGGTCTTGCTCGTGTGGTCACAGAGCGGCCCCTCTGCACTAGTTATTTCCAAATCGCCCACTTGTGACACAGGTTATATAACGAAGCAGGAACTAAGTGTTATCTTTGTTCAATTGCAAAGTTCAATTAAAAGCTTGGATGCTGTAGTGGAGCCAGGAAAATTCCTCTAGGAGAGGAGCCCTGAGTTCAACACTTTTTTTTTTTCTTATTGCTCAATTGTGTTCACTTCACTGGGAACATTCCTGACTTTCTCCCACAAGTTTCCTTCCAACAGCTGAGGAACCGCCCTCTGATGCAGTGCCCTTTACCTTCTGTGAGCCTGGCCTGCGTCTGCTGTCTGGCCCGTAACCTGTGTTCCACCACTGAGAGCCCATGACTGTTAAATCCGTATCTGGAGCACAGGAGAGCACAAGGAGAGAGACACAGTTAGGACCCTCAGGCAGGAAGCGAAGACTAGAGAGATGGCGATGGCTCCTTGACCATTTCACCATATGCGTGCATGCTAAGTCGCTTCGGTTCTGTTCAATTCTTTGCAACTCTGGATTACAGCCTGCCAGTCTCCTCTGTCCCTGGGATTCTCCAGGCAAGAATACTGGAGTGGGTTGCCATGCCTTCTTCCAGGGGATCTTCCCCAACCCAGGGATCAAGCCCATGTCTTGTCTCTGATGTCTCCTACATTGGCAGGCAGGCTCTTTACCACTAGCGCAATCTGGGAAATCCATTTCACCATATATTTGTGACATAAAAACAAAAGCAAAAATCAGAGTCAGTTATTAGACTTCTACAGTCTAAACACTCCAGGAAGTCCTAGAGAACTTGCCAGAACACCATCAAGCATAGAGGGAAAAATTACAATTTGCCAACAAGTCACTCAGCCAACTAGTACTGTAAACAGCCCAAACTCAACAACGTAGCTGCCCTCAGACCTGTCTGGATCCAGCCCCTCATCCTTCCCATCCACTGCTCCCACGCAGTGGGACCTCACCACTCTGATAACCTCTCTTCCCGCCTCCTGCCTCGCCCCACAGATTCGTCTCCTGGAACCCATCCTGCCACTCCATTTCCTCATCCTTTCTCTCATCCAGTCACCCTCTTCCTGGCCCAAGTCAAATGCTCCCTCGCCTCCTGGCATGCATGGAGTGCTCTATACCCATCTTCCTCCTGGCTTGGGATGTACATAAAGGTTGCCATTCCCCTACTGGGTTACAGTCGTTCTCGAGGACAAGAGACAACATCTTTATCACCTGCCACTGGACACTCCACAAAGGCTGAGCCTCATGTCTCTCATCTCTAGTGCCCAGCCCACCGAGGGGTGCTGCTCTAATGGCACCCCCTCCCCTCCTCCTCCTTACCAGTGGAACCCAGCTCCCCTGACCCAGCGTGAAAATGCCAGTGACGTGTGATGGGGCTTGGTCACTAAGACACAAAGTGCTGCCGACCAGGGAGCTTCTGGGAAAATACCCTCCTCCCCCAACATCCATACTCCCTTTTCCTTTCGCTCTCTGATGTCCTCCCGTGAGGACATATGCTTGCAGCTCAGGCTGCAAGAAGCAAAGGCCCACAGAGGTTGGACCAAAGTCCTGACACCACCCCACTGCTCAACCAACCCTAGAACTGCCTACTATACCCCTTATGAGGAAAAAATAATAACACACACCCATTACTACTTAACAGTAAGTAAGTTCTGCACCAGAAACACCTAACAGATACATGTACTCATTGACTCTGTCCATTCAGCACCCACCCTGGGCCAGACACGCCTGGAGCCGGGAACACAAGAGCTCGGAGCTCAGGCCCTACTCTCTCGTGCTGCTTCTCACACACTGGTTCCTACCAGGCCCCGTCATCCTGGTACCCACGGTCATTTGTGGCAGGTGAATCATAAACATTTTTTACCTGACCATTCTGAAGCTATCGATCCCACTTTACAGGGGAAAGATCAACAACTTAACATATAATGCTGGAAATTTTCCCTGAAACAAGCACAGTAAAGCAGGAGGTGCAGCCAGATAAACCTTCCATACGTCAGCCTCCCAGCAGGCCCTTCATGATCCCAAAGGTGCCTCCCAAACCTCCCCAGCCCCAGCGCCCCCCACCCCTGCCAAGGAGGCTCTCAAAATACTGTTATCAGAAAGGAGGAACTGCTCCACTTTCTGGGTTTGCTGTAGTGAAAACTGCCCAGGGGTCCCAAATAGAAGGGCTTTACACAATCTAGAAGGGTCTCACTTCCTAAAAGCAGCTGTCTATATTGATTATTACCTTCCCCAGTTACTAAAGGAGGGGCTGTGCTGTCCAAACCACTAACCACATGCGGCCACTGAGAGTGAAGCCTGGCCAGTCAAAACGAGACCGCTATAAGGATGACATGCTGGATTTCAAAGGCTTGGTACAAGTGAAAGAAGGTAAACAGCCAGTCATGTTTATATTGCTTACATATTAAAAGTATATATTAAGCATTTACAATTAAGTAGTATAATAAATAACTATTTCAAATAAAGTAGTAAAATATATTATTAAAGTTTATTTTAATTTCACCTGTTTCTCTTTACATTTTTATTGTGGCTACTAGAATACTTTAAATTACATACAGGACTCCATAATATTTCTACTGGACAGAGCTGGGCAAGGGTGCTGGAAGTAACAACGTGGAAGGAGCACACACTCTAAAGTCAAGTGAGCCAACATCCACACCCACGTTCTCCTGCTTGTGACCTTGTGACTGTAGCTGTTATGTAGTCCTCCGAGCCCCAGCATGTATACACATTAAACTGAAATCAGAAAACCTGCTTTTATGCTCAATATGATTCCAGAACATGCCAAATGACAGAAAAATGTCCACGTCGTATGGCCGCTCACCTACCTGTTAATGATAGCTTGGTCTTCCGGGAGGCGGAAGACCCTGGGCCTGGGGTTTCCTTCCTGAGGTTCTGGGGTTACACTGCCTATCTCAACAAAACCAAAGCCCATCTTGTAAAGGCCATCCACCGCTTCCCCATTTTTGTCAAATCCTGCGGCAATTCCCACTGGATTTCGGAATTTATGGCCAAGGACTCTCACTTCCTAGGGAGAAGGAAAGAAAGTCACAGGCAGAGAAAGCCATTCTAGTGTTCCTTAAAGCATGGTCCCCAGAATCGCTTGCCTGTTAAACCTCAGGTCCCAGGGCCCATCCCTGGACTAAGGAATCAGAGTCTTTGTTGGGGGGGGGGGGGTTGGTGGGGGGCAGAATGGAACTCTGAGGGAATCGATCTTTATCAGTGCTCTCCAGCTGATTCTGATGCCAGCCAGAGTTCGAGAACCATGAGGCTTTATCATCACCAAGGAGACAAACAGCGTTCCCACCATGGGTTGAACAGGAGATGAGTGCTGCCTTTTCCAATCACAGTTAAGGACTGTACCTTCTTATCCACTATCCTTGGTGGGAGAGAGTGGCTCATTGGTTTCAGCCCCTAGTGGGTGCTATTCAGAAACAGGCAGCAAGATCCTTTCATCATCTTAGTAAGTCAGCCTCCTCTGTGTCCCTCCTCCTCAGCCAGGCGACACGAAGGCCCAGCAGAGTCCCCAGGACTCCTGTCCTCGGCTGGGCAGCTCTGATTGCTGGGCCCCAGAACCAGGCTGGGAGGACCAGGTTCTTCCCTGTCAGACGTGGGCTGGATTCCTGATTGTTCATTAGAATGAGAATGATTTGGGCCCAGTTACTGTCAGGGCTAGTCCGACTCCCGAGTGATTCAGGATCACCCTGATGGAAGCCAACAAATCTAGTAGCAAGACAGATACATTAAAAGATGGGAAAGGCATCAGGCTATCATAAAGCCAGCAGTTGCCAATGGAGTTGTCTCTGTCAGCTGATATTACAGGAAAGCCTTTGCCGGGACTAGCAAGGGTCCCAGGCTGACGCCATCTGGTCCCAGAACCAGAAAGAAGAAAGGCTGCTCCAAAGATGGAGGTGAGTGTGTGCACGCGGTTCCTCAGGGACTAGGAGGCAGGGGGCTGCACTGGGGGCCGCGTTCCAGGAGGAGCTCTTGACCCCAGCTGCACGACAGGACCCCCAGGCAGCCCTCGGTCCTCAAAGCCCAGAGATGATGGTCAAATGGGGCTGGCACCAGTCTAGAGCACTGTGTACAGGTCTCCCCTGCCTTTCCAAAGTTTTCTTTATGCCACTTGGCTTTGCTATGAAAGAGCTACATTAGTAACCTGTTTTCTCTAACCAAAAGGAATCCAAAGAAAATTTTCACTTTTCTGAAAAAAGGTGACACGCACATCTTCTCAAAACTGCAGGATGGGAAATAAAAGAGATACGAAGACGCAAAGGGAAAATGTAGGGAAGGCCACTTTGATGGATAATAGTGACCCTTCTCCAGAGAGGTCTGAGGGCCTCTTGGTGTTTTCTTCACAGTCACATCATTCTTATGTCCCCCATCTGGTATGAATCTCTTCAGTGGAAACTGTCAGGGCTTAATGAGGATGTAGATTCTAGGAGGACGTGCATTCTTCCACTTTGTTTGCTGCAGAAACCCCAGCACACAGAAGCCTAAGGGGACACATGGCGCCCGTGATTAAATGCAGGAAGGAATGAGCCTGGGACAGGAGCTGTATGCTTTCCTCAAAGGGCTTGGCTAGACATCCCTTCATCACATTCGATGCTAGTGATGCTGGCATGCTTCCCTTTTCAGCAGAGGTGAACTCTGAGCTACCTGAGACCTCGGTGAGGCAGGGATGGCGGCTAAGGGGAAGGATGCTGAGCCAGACTCCATGGGTGTGGATCCTGGCTCAGCCACGTCCTGGCTGGGTGCCTTTGGGTAAGTCACTTAACTCCGCTGCACCTCAGTGTTCCTGATCTATAGATGGGGATGACAGTTTGGGGGCTAACTTGAGATTCTGGTTTTCAAAAGGATCAGCCCCAGCTGAATAAACTAGGAGACTTTGACCTTGACCTTTCTATCTATCGCACAGGTGTTATAGGAGCACCTACCAGCATGTCAGAGTCTTGAAACGCGGTGCGAGGAAGGAGCCCCAGGGAGGTGAAGCGAACAGCCAGCCTGTGGGCTGTCTCGGGGTCCAGCAGCCGCTGCAGAGCCGGCATCAAGAGTTCAGCGTAGAAATGCTCATCCCCCGTGGCCGTCAAGTAGGAGGCGAAGAGAAGTCCTCCGCCCCCCAAGATCACCATGGCATCCTGGGCCCGCTTCTAGAAAAAAAGAGCCAGTGGGATCCCCTCAAGGCCAGGCTGAGGCACCATCTCTAAACTCTTCACACACTTTGCATGCTCACAGGGAACATAACGGCCTTCACATTCAGTCACGTTCCTAGCCTTCTGCTAATGCTGGTCTCCTCCGTTCCTGCTCGCATATTGGCCTTTACAGGCAGAGGCTGTATCTGCACTTCTGCACTCACTCCTCTGCCCCAAAGGACTCCAGGCCAGGGCTTTCAAGAGGGGCAGTACCCCTGGGGCATGCAGTGGAAATCGGAAGAGACTGGTAATAGACTTAGTGAGTGGGTGTCAGTAAAGTCAGAAGTGCCTCTATGACTTTTGAAAATCCTACTGACAGTCACTAGGTACAAATATCTGTTCATACTACCTGAGCCTAGAACCACAGATTCTATTTCCCCACATAAATACAATCCTATGTGGTTTTTATCTGCATTGACTTTCCAGAAATGCAATTACCTTGTTGACTGAGGGCTCACCATACTGTTTAACAGAGAACATTGACAAGAATCACTCATCATCTCAGAAGACACTCCTGTGGCACTAGAATTTCTAAGTAGAGGCTTACACACCTGACCCACCACCTAGATGACTCATGCCCTAATATTTATGGGTCAAAATACATATTATTATAAATTCATTTCTCCTTTATATTCCACTTAGGACATTATGTTGACCTTTTAAATTATATATAGAAAGATTGCCTTATACAAAAGTTCCACTTCAGGATGCAAAAGAGGGTTGCAAAAAAAAATTTTTAAGGTCTTTTTTAAAATTTTATTGAAGTATAGTTGATTTATAACGTGTTAATTTTTGCTGTATAGCAAAGTGATTCAGATATCCATATATTTTTTCATATTTTTCCATTATGGTTTATCACTGGATATTGAATATAGCTCCTTGTGCTATACAGTAGGACCTTCTTGTTTACCCATCCTTTATATAATAGCTTGCATCTGTTAAGCCCCAATTCCCAGTCCTCCCCTCTTCCACCTCTCCTATCCCTTGGCAACAGCTCTGTTCTTATATCCAACATCAGGTCTTCTGGCACCAAGCTCAAACATTGCTCATAATACTTTACTTATCACTGCCAGGCGCTGAGTCACTCACTCATTCACCCCATAGTAACTGTGCACTCAACGATGGATTCCAGGCTCAAGTCCCTGCCTTCATGAGTACAACCTCAGGAGGCAAGAGAAATCAATGATCATGCAAACGTACAGCTGTGATAGTGCTATGAAGAAAAAAGTGATGGAAGCATCTAACCTAATCTCAGAGGTAGGGAAAGGCTTCCTTGAGGAAGTGTCTTAAAGCTGATATTCAAAGACTAAATAGAAGTTAGCTAGGCGCCAGGGCTGGGGCTGGGGAGGGGACGATGGTAACGGCCCTCGACGCTCTAGGCGGCAAAGGAGAATGAGATGCACCCAACGAATGGGGAAAGGGGAAAGGTTTGTCTGGAATCAAGGAGTGAGGAAAATTACAGCTTAAAAATAAGCTGGGGAGGCAGGCAGGGGTCTTGGCCAGAATAAAGTTTTGGGTTTGGTTCCCTAAACAAGGAGGTGACCTGATCAGCTTTGCCTTTAAGGGTCACTTCTAGCGGTCAGCATTGATCTAGTATTCATTGTCTACACTTCTAGCCTCCTCCAGGAGATTGCAGGAACGCCCCTTGAGTAGATCCACAGATGGCTGAGTGCCGTTACAAAAACCCTGCCCTAAAAGTTTATCTAAAAAGGCTGGCACTATGTTTTACTGTAATTTCATTGCAGGTTGGATCCTGCACACAGTGCTAGGCGGTCCTGTGTTCACTAGGCGTCCCCGGCTTAGTTCAATAACAGCCCACGTGCTCTTACACAGATCAGCATCTACACTGCTTAAAGCCCACGTGCTCTTACACAGATCAGCATCTACACTGCTTACACGCACTATTTACACAGTGACCACGTACGCATGTAAATGCACGCTCAGGACCATCGGCAGGCGTCCGCAAAGCTACACACACTACCCTAAAAGGCCCACACTCTCGGATCCCGCGGCCGCCCACACCTCGCCCAAACTAGCCCTTCATCCTCCCCTCGCCCGGCTTCCCGCCCGTGCTTTTCCACGCTGCCACATTAGCAGCACCAGCTGTACTCACTTTGAGCAGCCTCCACGCCATGCTCCTGCCGCCTCTGGGCCCGCCTCTGGCTCGTTTCCATTGGAGGAGATGGAGATGTCCTCTAATCCCCGGCCCGCGGAGGGGAAGGCTCCGCCCCGCCCGGAGAGTCTGATTGGACGTTCACGCGCGGGCGCATTCGCGGTGTACACGCCTCTTCCGCCTGCCTGCCTCCCGGAGTCTTTGCTGCGGGGCAGGGCGCTATGGCTGGGACACCTTGCACGGTGTTCCAGCATCCTGGATCCGCAGAGACAACTCCCTGTATGTTGAGTCTTAGATTCTAAGCAACACTGTCACCAAGTTTCTGATCGTTCAAGTTAAACATTTTAATGATAAGAGTGTGTGTGTTTTAGATAAAGCGTGGGTTGAGAATGTATATAGGGCACTAAAAGGGTTGAAATGAATTCCAGCACTGCGTAAGATACCTGAGTTGACTTTCAAAGAAAATTCTATGAACATCAGGTTTCACTATAAAAATGCCTAAAACGTACGTGTGTATGCGTGTATATATGTTTATAACGATGTCGGGAAAGTAAGACTGAGTTTGTGGGCAATTTCTGTGCCCATGTTTACTTGTATTTATGATCTCATTTTGATGACAAGAAAGAGAACTAGCTAAAGTATATAAATGATGGATGTGCTACAGGTGAAGATCAAATAACATGCTGTATGAACAAAGGTTTTCATTAAGTTAAAACTGGTGAGAGTATTTGAAAACTGAAAGTGTCCTGCACCCAAACAATTCTTTTGCAGCTCAGACTTGGACTCCTCTGCCCAGAAACCTTCCCCCACAATCGCAAACTGTATTTTCTTGGCATTTGAAACATTTCAGTTTTCTAATTTCAGTTCCCACTACTGTCCCCCCGCCCTCCCGCTTCCCACCGCAGAATTATTTCTTTGTATAAATGCCTTCCCTGTCTCACCTCAGTGCGTTTACTCTCATGAATGCCTCTGCCGAGATGCATTTCATCTTCCTAGATATGGCCATCCTTCTATGTTCAAGTGCTGGAAATAGAGCTTCCTCCTCTGAACCGTCATAGATTTACCCTGTACCTCTCTATGAAACTTTCTATATATTTTTTATATAGTGTATTTTTATTTGGGGTTGTGCTCGGTCTTCGTTGCTGTGAGTGGCTTTCTCTAGTTAATGGTGAGCCGTGGCTAGTCGTGGTTCTGGTGCACCGGCTCTAGGTGCCTGGGCTTCAGCAGTTGCAACACAGGTTTTAGTTGTCAGGGGCTTGTGGAATCTTCCCGGACCAGGGATGGAACCATCTCCCCTGCACTGGCAGGCAGATTCTTATCCACTGTGCCACCAAGGAAGCCTGGAACTGTATTAACTACACTTATTTTGTCTTTTTTCCCTCTAATTTAAAACATAAACTGATTTAGTTACAGTAGAGGCCGTACCATATTTTGTTATACCAATTACTTGATTATTGCAGTGTTTTTAAAGTGAGGGGTGTGTTCTTGGGGTCTATACTTAAGAGAATTTTGTATTTTGGTGTCCACTTCCTCAGTGATTTTTAAAGTACTCTAAGCATCACGTGGACCATTTGGATAACATACTGAAACCTTCCAGGCAATTTCTGTGCCCATATTTATTTGTATTTGTGATGTCATTTTGGTACCAAGAAAGGGAACTGGCTAGCGTATATAAGTGATAGATGTACTACAGGTGACATGCTCTATGAACAAAGGTTTTTCATTAAGTTAATTAAAGAAAAGTGAGAGAATTGATTCTTCCCTACAGCAGGAGTCAGTGTGCATGACAAAATCAAATGAACCTGTGCGGTTGTAGACCAGAACCATGTTTATCTGATAAGTGGCTATTTAGTTTGGCAAAATTTGAATTTAAGTGGCTTTCAGTTTTGCTTATATTTAATTTGTATTCATGCTTTCATCAAATATTTACTCTCTGGCTTTTATGATTATGTAAGAACTTTAGGACAGAGATTATGCTTAGATTTGTGTATAAATGTATTTAAGAAATAATACAATAATTTAAATCAATTCTAGGGGGTCTGCAAGAATGGTTTTCTTTTTTAAAAAAATACAAAACTAAATTTTTAGCAACACTGGCTTAGATGTTCGTCACCCTCTGCGCTCTTACAGGTTTGATTTAGCAAATAAAGGGCTATTTCAGTATTACAAAGCAAAGGCATAGCCAGTTGTGTAGACACAGGTGGTGCTGCCCCAGCTATGAGGACCCATTGCTTTATTGATCCCTAGCATTTGCTTTCAGCCTGTTGGAACGCCACCTGGGTCCTTAAAACAAAACCTTTTGTCTTCTTGACAAGCGACTCCCTATTTTTGAAAGAATAACACTGATAAATAAGATGAGCCCACCAAGAATATATTTAAGAGAGCAGGCAGCTGCTGAGCCCGCACACTTTCCATGCTCACAGTTCGCAGAGAAAATGTCCTTCAAAGGAAGAACCTGGCTTTGGTTATGCATCACAACAGGTTTCATTTTAGGGAGTGAGCTCCACAGCCTGGAGCAACTCGGAGGGAATAATTGCTATCAGCTGAACCGCTTTCCGTGCAGCTTTGAGGGAGCAGAACGTCACTGTCGTGCTGGGGGAGGACACCTTGCTTTCATCTGGAACCAGGAGGTTCAAGATCTCCTCTGGGACTTTCTGAAAAAAGAAAAGTGGTGGGTTGGGGGAAATTTAACGCTGCCGAAGAAACACCAAGGAAAAAACCACCCAGGTGAGGCTCAGAGGTTTAGTGGTCATGAAGGAAACTTCCTTCCTTTTCCTCTGAGATGAGAGGAGGAAAGAAATGGGACCTCTTCTGCTTTTGTGTACAGAGAAATCAGTCACTTCATTACCATCGTTCTGAAATGTCTCCACTTTTGTGCTCCAGCCTTTCTTTGTCTGTGTCACAAAATGATGAGATTTTTTTTTGTCTCAGAACCTATCAAAAGTTAACTTACCTGCTATTTCACTAAAAGTATTGTGCAAGATTCTGAAATGGTTACTTTTTTTTTTCCTTGTAAATACCTCTTTATCATTCTCAGCCCCATGCTTCCTGACACAGAAGCTTGGAGAGAAATTATTTGTCAGTTGCCTTTCTTACACAGATATTTTCAGACTTAGGCACAATAATCTTAGGGTCTTAGAGAAAAATTCAAGGCATGATTACATCATTGGGGGCTTTCCTGGTAGCTGAGATGGTAAGGAATCTATCTGCAATGCAGGAGACCAGGTTCGATCCCTGGGTCAGAAAGATCCCCTGGAGAAAGGAATGTCAACCCACTCCAATGTTCTTGCCTGGAGAATCCCATGGACAGAGGAGCCTGGTGGGCTACAGTCCATGGGGTTGCAAAGAATCGGACACCTTCACTGACGTCTAGATAAATTAATACTAAACCTTGTGATAACACATAATATGAAAAAAAAAACAGTCTATAGTTTGTGTGTGTCAGGGGGCAATCCTAAATTTCCATCTTCTGGAAGCTAGCAAAATTTGGTGTTCATGTTTATTTTTTTTAACTGTTCGACTTTTGAGTATGAAGCTTATCTGGGTCTGGTCTCCCTGCAGCAGATGTCACAGCATGCCCGGCCACCAAGCCCACCAAATGCATCTACCTGACCAGAAGTCAAAATCAGATCTTATCCAAAGAGGGCTCTTGCTCACTGGAGCATAACTTCATTTGCCAAGCTGGTAAGTGATGAAACTACATGCTGCCAAAGACCTAATTCTTAGAAACTGACTCTGAATAAGGAGAGCATGTGAGAGTATTAGGTAGAGTCTGTGAGTGATGGACCGTAATGATTTCCTCCTGCAACCCCTCTGGTCGTTGGGCAGAGTTATGCCTTGATGTTCCCTTCATTTCTTGACCTGGATAGAGTGTGTACCCCCCAGTCCTTTCAGCGCCTGGCCTTTACTGGGAAGAACAAGAAGCAAAAGAGGAACATAGAATATGGTGGATTATAGGGGAACCCGTTATCAGTTCAAGGTTTGCTTCTTCAGAGGTAGGAGGGGAGACTTAAGGGGTGGTGTGGTTTGGTTTGGTTTGGTTTGGTTTTCACATTAAGCAGTGTTCTTCATGGTAGTAGTTACATAAAGCACTTATATTGTAGTTTGGTGAATTCTCAGAGGGCTTATGATGTCTTAGACTGTATAGGTAAAAGTTCTGTTTCACTTTGTTAAAAAATCCAAATACATTCTTATTAAAATGTACAGCAGCTATAGATGCTTCATAAAACAGACATTGCAATATTTTTCTATTACAAGAATAAAAAAAAGATCACCTTTCTCAAATACTGGCTATTGAAGGGACCCAGTATTTCAAATTTACATATTTCTAGCAGCAAACCTCTCCTTCTTCACCCTTTCAAGCTCTTTGTGATATTTTTGTCCCTTTGCCATGATGGCATGCTGCTGTTAATGAGGCCAAGGTTGTGAGCCTAGTTTCTGCAGAAGTCAAGTGCTCACATGTTTCATTCTCACAAACTGCATCTCTAGTACTGGCAGTCATCTTATAATTGTGAATTGTTTTTATCATCACAAGAGTTTATTTTACCCAACCCATCTCCCGGATTGGAAAAGCAGCCCCCTAATAGAGTCTAAATGATGGTGATTATTCGTCCACTTTTCACTCTCCCAAGAGAGCTTTTAGACATTCTCAGCTACTCTTGGTTTTGGAGTGAAAATGAGTTTCCTAATATTATTTTCCTTGTACTTACAAGAGACTTCTGCTGTAGAACATAGAATGTTTCTGCAGAAGGAAATCTTGGACAAAAAGAATTCAGTTTATCCAAGCCAGTTCTGCAAATTCTGAGTCTGTGTGCTGATAACTAGAGGAAGTATGTCACCACAGTGGAAAAACTGCACTCGAGAGCCAGGCTTCCTGGGTTCACATCTTGTTTCTCCCGCCCTGGGCAAGCGCCTCAGCCTCCGTGCAGCCCAGTTTCCTTCCAAGGAGTGTTATGAGGATGAAGATAACAAATTATATAGGATATTAGAACAATGCCTGGCATTGGCTGCCAGATTAATAA